GCCGTAGAACCACACGCTACATCAGCGGGACGCTTCAAAAAACACACACGCACACACAAGGGAACTATGACGACAGGTAACGCCAGCACGACCGGTGGACGAGGAGTAGTTTGGCCCAACGACGAGACAATAGTGTGTTAAAAACTCAATAGCAGGTGGCATATTGCATGGTTGCCATGGCCACCAGTGTGTGAATGGGTGAATGCGCACTTTGAGTGGTTGGATGACTAGTAAGGTGCTTTATGAGTGCAGTCCATTTACCATTTAATTTGGCCAGTCAAGGTGAGAGCACCTGAGCTGTTCAGAGGCTCATGGAGCACAGGTGTGTGTGCACATGCTCGCCTGGTGAGCTGTTTTAAATAGATATTATTGTTAAGGTAGTGTGGGTTCTTTAAGTGCTAATGTTACAGTTGTATTTTTAATTGCAAAAATGACAACTAGAAAAGACTGACATGTGTTGTGTTTATTTTATGTTATATTTTATGCTATTGTTTGTCTGTATTCTTGTAAATGGACCTTATTAACCTTTTAATCTTTGTTATGTAAATACAACTGAGGAGAGAAAGATCTCTGCTCAGCCATCTGTCTGATCTTGATTTGCGTTCATCCATCTTGTTCCAGACATTCAAGGATTCACTCAGTGTCTGTTGTAATGTGCACACTCAGGTATGTGACAGGAGACTTGATGGGAATGCCATATGCTGCCACAAGATGGCAGTCATGTATGGCTGATAGTTCACAGTTGGTCAAATTCAGTTTTAGACCAAATGCTCTAGAAAATAGATCAATGGTCTCGATGGCCTCTGGAACCTGCTCCACATTTTTTAATAGTAAAGTTGTGTCATCTGCCAGCTGACTTACAACTATGTCACTCTTACAGACACTCAGTTTCTCAGCCTCAGAGTTTTTAACAAGAACTGAAAGCATCTGTGCTACAATAAGAAAAGTGATGGTGAGATTGGACAGCCTTGTTTTATGCCTCTGTTGATTGAGACACGAGGAGAGGTGCCACCTGATGAGGAAACTGAGCTGCTGGTGTCGTGATAGAAACAACAGATTGTCTTTTGGAGCTTCTACCAGCAGGGTAGTGCACAGGTGTGTTGCATACTGCCAGTGATTAGACTGAGATTGGTTACTTTACCTGCCTGTCCATTGTTGCCTCTTGTATGCTCTGATGAAGATCTGCTGGACTGAAAGCTCAACAATAAAGTGAAACACTGCAGAGATGTAAGTGTGCAGAAATCTTTTTCTTTCTTCTTAGTTTTTTTTCTGCAGTGACTCTTTGCGCTGTAAATAAATTGATTATGTTATTAGAATGTAACTTGCAGTTTTTGTCTCAACAGCACTCATTTGTAATGTGAAACTAGCAGTATTTCAATTATGCAAAGTTTATTTTAGTCCACAGTGACAGTGTTGCTATTTTACACACATAACATGAGACACCTGTGTGATGAGAACTAGGATAAAACAGATAATATTTTTTTAGTAAAATAATCCACACACTGTTAATTGGCTCCTCTTATTATAAATGCAACATTTCAGTCAGATAGACCTCATTAATCATTAACTACTTTTCCACTCTTTGCTTCAGCAGCACAAACAGTCTGGTGTTACTTTAAAGTGTTTATGTGACATATTCAGAGGAGTTTTATCAACTAAACAGCAAAAAATACTCTCTACTAACGTCACATGTAGCTCAGTGATACCTACAGGTAATGTAAGTCTTGGGAGACAGTGAATTTGTGGATAGTGTTTTCAGTGTTTCTAGATTTTCTGTTAAGATTATCATTGTGTGTCATTAAAATCCAAGCCACTGACATTTTACTGTCTATCAGTCTCAGACACTTTGGCCACTGTTTCATCTCATAAAATATGAAGCAGCAGACTTCATTCATGGTTCTAATGATGACGCTTGTCATTAACAGCCCATCCTCTTTCACATGAACGCACTCGTGGCTGGATAGGAAAACCCAGAGTTGACTGAACTAGTTGATAACCAGCTTTGCAGTACCAGTTATCCAGATGTCCAATGTTAGGGTTAGTCAAACCAGATAATAAAAAGATATCCTGGGTAAGTTGAACTGGCTTCGTGGTGCAGGCCTCCGGACCATCATCATCACGTTGACCATGGATAACCTATATATGTTGATCCAGGACCATCACTGCTAAATTGATGTCGACACAAGCAAATAATCCAGAATCAGCGTGATGACGATGGTCCTGGATAAACTTAACCGAATCAATCCAGGATCAACAAGGGAAAATGTGTTAACTGTAGGAATTTGCAACTGAAAAAGGTTATTAACCTTACTATTTGTCGGTGAACAACATTCTAGTCTATTGGCAAGCTTAGTCGTTACTATAGCTAACCTAGTTAGCACGCTAATTGCTAATCCTGCAGTAGCCTACAAGGTTTTTGTTCCGTGTAACAGAGGCTTTTGTTTAATTGCAGGAATTTGCAACTGAATTGTTAAGTTAACAACATTCTAGTCTATTGGCAAGCTTACTTGTTAGCATAGCTATAGTTAGCACCCTAATTTAGGGTGACCATATTTTGATTTCCAAAAAAGAGGACACTCGGCCGGCCACGACATAGCCTACTTAAATGATACTGGCAGTTTACTCAAAGATGCCTTATCATTTTAATATATTTAAAATTTATATGTATGGATAGAAAATTCAGTTATATTACAAAATAATATCTCTCAAAGACAGAAATTCGGGGCGTTGGTGGCTTAGTGGTAGAGCAGGCGCCCCATGTACAGAGCTGTTGCCGCAGCGGCCCGGGTTCGAGTCCAGCCTGTGGCCCTTTGCTGCATGTCATCCCCCCTCTCTCTCCCCCTTTCACACTCAACTGTCCTATCCATTAAAGGCAAAAAATGCCCCGGGCCGGGTTTGGTCAAAAATGTAGTTATAAATTGTATTCGGGCTCAGGTCGGATTCGGTCAGCTTTCAGTGAAAATGTAGTGTACAAATAAATAAAACCCTATTGTCTGTCCTGTTTATTGCTTGGGCGCTGTTATTTACATGACAACACCTGAACATAAAACATACAGACACACACTGGCTGTTTGTTTCTACTTCTCTCCTCGCTGGAAGTCTCGGACCTCCAGCCGCCCGCCTCCGCCTTGATTAAACGCTGAAAATAAAATAAAAGAGGGAGACAGGTTTTTCCTATTTTATCTAATTTTGTTTTATTTCTCCCTCTCCTCTCACTGGAAGCGTTGTACCTCCCGCCTCCCGCCTCCCGCTCCCGTCTCAAACACGGAGGTCTCCCTCTCTGCTGAGCACGCCCGGCCTGTTAAATATCCTGTAACCGTAACAACTGTGTGACATAAACTCAGTGCTTTGGTCATTAAATAATGTCGGGTTCGGTTCGGGTTCGGACAGAAATATGCAGCCCGTGCTGCACTCTAACACACACACAAACACACGGAAAACCGGACATTATCATCAGTTTAAAAAAAAAAAAACCCGCACGGGACGTGAAAAGCGGACATGTCCGGGCAAAAGAGGACGTTTGGTCAGCCTACCCTAATTGCTAACCCTGAAGTAGCTTACAGGGTTTTTGTTCAGTGTTACTGAGGATTTTGTTTAATTGTAGGAATTTGCAACTGAAAAAAATGTTATTATTTTTACTCTTCTTTTAGTGAACAACATTCTCGTCTATTGCCAAGCTTAGTTGTTAGCATAGCTAACCTAGTTAGCAAGCTAATTGCTAACCCTGCAGTAGCTTACAATGTTTTTGTTCAGTGTTACTGAGGATTTTGTTTAATTGTAGGAATTTGCAACTGAAAAAATGTTATTATCTTTACTCTTCTTCTAGTGAACAACATTCTTGTCTATTGGCAAGCTTATTTGTTAGTATAGCTATAGTTAGCACCCTAATTGCCAACCCTGCAGTACCCTACAGGGTTTTTTGTTCAGTGTTACTGAGGATTTTGTTTACTTGTAGGAATTTGCAACTGAAAAAAATGTTATCTTTACTCTTTTTTTAGTGACCAACATTCTAGTCTTTTGGCATGCTGACTTGTTAGCATAGCACACCTACTTAGCAAGCTAGCTCGCTAATATTCTCATCTATTGGCAAGTTTACTTGTTACCGTAGCCAACCTAAGCAAGCTAACTCGCTAACTCTGCAGTAGCTAACAAGGTTTTTGTTCAGTGGTACTGAGGATTTTGTTTTACTGAATTAAGTTCAATTTGGGAAACTATCTTAGCTCTGAAGAAGCATGGGAGCAGCATATTGATGATGTCAGAGGGCTGTGATTGGTTGATTGCAGTGTTGTTCCAGGAGCATAATGTGGGGTGTTGGTCCAGGGGCATGTAACTTAAAATTTTTGTTTCATTTAATCTTGTGTGTCTAAAGCGGAATATAAACACAGAAGACAAACTCTTGACTAAGGTCATAGTTCATGCATGAAAGGTCAAGTCAGCAGTCAGTCAGAAGCTGTTTCTGGTCTTACTGGGGATCTCCCACACTGTGACTGTGTGCCTAAATCACCACCTTCTTTGTGTGCGTGTTCCTGATTGTGTTTTTGCGTGCACGCTCCTCTTCTTCTTTTTTGTTTATCCACGTGAGGGCACTGATTGCTCCGCTGGTCCAGATCTGGGCCAAGCTTCCTGATGCTGGAGTTGCACCCTGCTGATTGTGGCTAATCATGATGACAGTCTGCTGGGTGCATTGTTCCAAACCCTCGCTGTGATTCGGGTCAGGGTGTTTGAGCCAGGGTCTTGATTATATTGACGTCAGTTTCTGGCTCTTGTTTGTTTCCTTTATTTCACATACAAACAAAGTGCACGTGCAAGAACATAATGTTGTGTTTCTGCCGCTGATAACCTTTGTCCCATTGTAGAAGTAGGATTTGGGACATTAAGGTGCTTTTATACCATCAGGCCTGTTTATAATGCTAAATAACAAACACATGCATGTATATATTTTATTGCATATTGAAATATCAGATTGAACAGGTTTTAAATGACAAACACAGACACTTAAATTGTTTCTATTTTCTTTATTAGAAAAAGTATGTCCTATTAAAAGTCTAATGACAGGAAGTAGAAAACACTGTACATGTATTCAAATGCAAATAGTCCCCTCTCTGATCACATCATGAGTGCTCATTGGTCTGGAAAGGCTTCAGTGCCTGCTGCATGTTCACTGTGGGAACCAGTCTCAGACTAAATTAGTCCACCGGGAGGGGAAACAACTATATACAATGAAGATCTGCAGCCAATCAGAGGCCACACACGCACACAAACGGACCCAACCTGCACAATGGCATAATTACAACAATATGATAAAACACTTTGTCAGCCCTGTGATGCATTACAAGCAGATTAAAACCCAATAGGAGCATGAATAAACTCCTGCCGCCTGAAAAATGCTCATATTTTACAGTTTTACGCACAGCAGATGCGCACATGATGCCTCAATGAGCCCCACTCTGTGCTATGAACAGACTCAGCATCTTTTTGACACATCAGTTCAAACTTTCACAGCAGATGCGTCATTTCCAAAAAAAAAACAATGTCCAACATATAAAAGTCTCAATTTATACATAGTACTTCTTTTCGGTCCCGTTGGATGTGATCGTATTGGTGGGGGCGTATTTGATGGGATACGTGCCCCTCACCCCCGGAGAGAAGGAGCAGCACAGCAGGGTCCCACCGAGCAGCAGCAGCGCCGTGGCGGCCCAGCCGATGTAGATGGCCGCCCCGATCTCCCGCTTCTTGGACGGCGGCAGATGCGGGTCGTGGAAGTCCACGATGATGTTGTTGGCCATCCAGCAGAGCGGGACCAGCACGAAGAGCCCGCTCATGATGTAGATGACCCCTCCGGCGTTCACCACCCGCGCCTTCACCGTCTCGTCCTTGATGCAGTTGGTGCACTGCGCCCCGGCGACCGTCACCGTGAGGGCGACCACCCCCAGCACGGCAGAGATGACCGTGAGCGCACGGGCCGTCTGCAGGTCCTGCGCCAGGGCCAGCACCGAATCGTGGACTTTGCACTGCATCTGGCCGGTGCTCTGCACCACGCAGGACATCCACAGGCCGTCCCAGATGGTCTGAGCCACCACGATGTTGGAGTCGATGAACGCGGTCACCTTCCACATGGGCAGCCCGCACGCGATCATCACCAGCAGCGAGCCGATGACGCACAGCGCCAAGCCGAGGAACTCCAGACACGCAGCGAGCATGGCTCCGTTAAAATCCTCCTTAATGTGAGAAGTTAAAGCGTCTTCTTAAAGTTTCTCCTGTCTTGCCTTGATGCTCTGCGCGCGCTCAGCCTCGCCTGTGGTCACTGAGTGCGTGCGCTCTGTGGCTTTTCATTTATGAGACGCTGCTGCTGCGCCTCCATCAAAACACAACCCTAGAAACTTTCAGCCAATCAGCTCTTAAAGGCATCTTTGCTTCAGCCAATGAGGAGGGGCAGCAGCAGCATCTCTCTCTCTCTCTCACACACACACACACGCACACAAGCTTGCGCTTGCACGTTTACGCACCAGTGTGAGAGCGTATTTACCAGTTTGGACTGGAGCGCACCAGATGTGTGGTCTCTTCCTGTAATTCAGAGTCTTCTGGGAGGAGGTGGGAAGTGAAGCAGCACTGGGCTCGGTGTGGAAGCAGTTTATCAGGGTTTGTAATTCATAATTGAGCCAATAATAATATAAAACCTAAAGCTTAAAGTAAACAGACCATACAATGTCAGATGTTGTGGAGAGGATATGGGCACGTCCTGCTGGTCCAGTGGTCTGAGGAGAATAATGCCACATGAAAGCCACATCCTGCAGGTTCAGATCCAGCGTTGGGTCAATGTCTCCTTTCCCAGCAGTCTCCACCTTTTTCTACTGAACCAAAACATGTTAAAAAAACGAAGGTACATATGTGGAAGAAGTATTTTTATCATGATATATTTCAATCAAACCTGAATGTCACTACTGGACTCAGAAATATAATTGATTGATATTTATAAGGAGCAGTGTGTGAGATGTAGGGAGGATTTGGTGGCGTCTAGCTGTAATGATTGCAGCCAGCTCAAAGTTCCTCGGAGTTCCTTCAGTGTTCATTGTTCGGGAGGTTTTTCCGAGAAGCCGAATTATTGCAGAGGTCTCCTCTCCAAAACAAACAGACCAGAGGTCTATACGAGGAAGCCAGTTCAACCTACCCAGGATATCTTTTGGTTATATGGTTTGACTAACCCTAACATTGGCTGGATAACGGGCACTACAAAGCTGGTTATCAACTAGTTTAGTCAACTCTGGGTTTTCTCATTCCGAAGTCCTCGAAATCTGTTGCTTGGGCAATGTCTTGTGGCGTCAGATACTGACAAAAAAAGCCATCCTTTAACATCGGCATTATATGCAGCTGGTCAGCATTATAGTATAGCGGTGTTCGTGTCCCAAAAGTTTCTAAAGTTCTTGTTCTTGTTGTCTAAACCTAACATCAAGAGTTTTTGTTGTTGGAGGAAAAAAAAACATGGTTTTGCGATGTTGTACTGACGTAGTGCTTTTATTTTGAAAGAAACTGTATGTAAACTGTAAATGTCCTGTGAAAACAGAAGTGTGTTTTGAAAGAAGACGTTGCATGTAACAGGCAGAGCTTGACAGTGTCCCAGATGGTCAACAACCAACACACCCCGGGTACCTTGCACGTCATATGTGGATGTGAAAAGTCCATGACCAAACGTCAATATATGACAAGGTCGGAGTGAGAATGTGTTGTATTTACTGCCTATTTCTGCAAATTCGAAGTATGTAAAATCACCCACTTAAACCACCACACACTGAACTGAATAAGTGTGACTTTATTAAGTAGGTGGGCCAAACAAACGGATTAGGCCATTGCGAGGCACTACGAGGAGACAAACCATGGGTCAGTCACTTCCCTTAAATTGTTGGCATTGAAAAAGCACCACCCAATCCAAGAGGGGTTAATTTTATCAACCAGCTTTTAAGAAGGGAAGCATTTTGTTCTGTTTATTTAAAATGTGTAGCTTTAACCTGAAATTCTGGCTTTTCTCAGCTTGTTAATTTCAAAGTGATACACACACACATGTATATTTATTTGCAGACGACTCCCATGAAACTTGGACTGATTTTTTTTTCACTTAAACAAACATTGTTTTCTCTCTGATTGATACTTTGGTCTGTTTTTAATCTTCAGCAACACACTGCGAGGCACACAGGATGCACTCCACACAGAGCAGAACGCGACCGTGTTGATTCACACCATTGTGCTCTGACTGTTGTTGAAAAATCAACTCAACTCTCTTTTTTGTGTTTGTGCCTTAAGTGGCCTCACCAGAGACACGGACAGCCTCAGTCAACCCGACACACACATCCTCTATACGCACTTCAAGTCAGCGCTGTGATGACAGAAGCATCAGGGGCAAAGCATGCTGGGCCGTTACACGGACCTTTTTTAAATGTATGACCACTTCCTGGTCAAGCTTTAGATGAAGTCACACCCAGCGTGACTCCTCTTTATCAGCTTTATCACTGAGGAAATCAAATTTAGTGACAGTAATTTCTTGAATTAGAAATAATGACATTTTTCTGTAGCAGGTGTTCTGTTGCTGCAATTCACCACTCAAAGCTAACCTATCCCTCCTCTTAGTGAGGCTGCACTGTTCAATTCAATAAAGATATGCAGAGTACTAATCAACAAACACAGAGCCAATAAGGACGATGAAACAACCCCACCCACCCATCAACACAAGAGCAAACAAAGACCGTCAGACCAGTCAAAGGGAATCCAAAAGAGAGGAAAAAGAAAAACAAAACTGAAAATGACAATAAATTAACTAACTTGTGACAGAAGTCGGGGAGTATAGCGTGTTTAATTATAATTTTTCAGTTAAAAATGGTTGCCAGGTGGCAAAGACCCTTTAATAAAACAACAGATTTTCTCCAGTTGTAAATAAAACATAACATCCTTAATACAATGTCCATATGTTGGAGGTGAAGAGTCTCTCCATGTACACAGGATGAGCCTTCTGGCCAGAGGTGAACGAGATGAAACAATGTCCGCTTGGCCTCTATATTAGTTAACATCTACAGGAGTTAAGCAGGATTTATACTTGTGCATCAGCTCTATACAGAGTCAACACCGAAGCCTACGCTGTTGTGAGCATTTATACTTGTGTGGTGGTGTGACTGTGTCACTCTGCAGTTACACCTCCAAAACCCACAGTAAACACACATTAAACACACATTAAACATGGCTTAACAGACACAGTTTCAAACACAAGTTCACAAATCAGCTTCACTATAACTCACAGCATTCACAGACAAACACTTGTCTTTATCTGGACACATTTTCTCCACAAATACAACATGCTAATGTTATTAGCACAAGCCTATGGCATTTTACATTGTATAAATTAGGCTAGCAGCTAGCGAACTTTTCCTTTACTCATATGAAGCCAGGGACAACAGCAACATTTAACAAAGGTAGCATTACATAATTTGGCTCCATTACAACTCACAAGATTCACTGACAAAACAGCTGTCTTATACTAAACATGTTTTCCAAACAAATACAACATGCTAATGTTATTAGCACAGGCCTATGGCATTTTACATTGTATAAATTAGCCTAGCAGCTAGAAAACTTTTCCTTTACTCACATGAAGCCAGGGACAACAGCAACATGTAACAAAGGTAACGTTACAAAATTTGGCTCTGTTACAACTCAGAAGGTTCACCGACAAAACAACTGTCTTATACTAAACATGTTTTCCAAACAAATATAACATGCTAACGTTATTAGCACAAGCCTATGGCATTTTACATTGTATAAATTAGCCTAGCGACAAGCAGAGATTTCCTCTGCTCATATGAAGCCAGGATAAATCACACACAAGACATAAAATGCTATTTTGTGGAGGCTTTGCTTTCTTCACAATTTATTGTTTCTTATCTGTGAAATTAAAGTGAATTAAAGCTTCGTTTCCACTGAAGGAAATGGTTTCAGCGTTTCTGTGCAGCTGCGATGTGTAGTTACATTTCTGAGGAGGTGCACATCAGGCTACAGCGTCGATTTGATGCAGAAGTGTTTGAGAATGTAGGTTTTTATTTATTTTATTTTATTTTATTTTAACATATTGATCAAGGGAAACAAACAGAATATTTGACCTGAAGACAAAATATTGCTCCTTAATGAGTCATATTAAGTCATATTGAGTCATATTAAGTCACATGAGTCACCCTAAATGTTGCTCCGTCACTTTCACTGTGAGTCCTCTTGATAAATGTCTTCTCACTCTATCAGTTGATTCACTCCTAAAAATCAGGCCCAGACACACTTTGTTCTGTTCAAGCTGTTCCTCTTGGGTCAGTCTGAAAATAGCACCCTGTATGGAGGTCAGTGTGTGAGCTGCAGTGTGTGTGTGTGTGTGTGTGTGTGTGGATCAGGGTTGATGTTTACTGCAGATAAAGTCGTGCATGTTGATAAGAGCTGGACCACACCTTCTGTAATGACCCTCAGTCTCTCAGTTTTAGTCATGAGGTTGATTCATCTGCCTTATACAGACTGAAGGGGCTGAATCAGAACTCTGGTATTTATTTATTTATTCTGGTAATTATTGACTCATCGGGGTGCCACATAAACACAGGCAGGGTGGAGGAAAAGTCTTTAAAAACCACAAGAAGATCAAATCTGAAATAAACTGTAAATATTTGTCCTGAAGTGAAGTTTTAATGTAAATACGGAAAACCAAAAATAATAATTCTGCAGAGTGAATGTGGATTAATATCTATCTATAACGTACAGATGATACAATGACTTCAGATTAGGGGCAGAGGCAGCAGGTGTTAATCGAACATGGACGTCAGTGTGCTGACACAAACAACATTCCTGCAGAAAAAAACACAATCAGGCCTCCATCTGGAAAGATCATTATATCACGAGCGCACAAGCATGTGCACGTGGGGGAAAATCACGTCATGATGTCACGTAGTGCTGTAGGTGAGTGGGTCATGAAAGCACCACAGCACTTCATGTTAATCATGGGCAGGACTCAAGTCGCTGCCAACAACAGTGTGTGTAAGTGTGTGCACGTTGTATGTGTGCACGGGTCCATGCATGTCCTCAGAGGTCCAGATGCTTCCTCCCTCTGACTGTTTACTGTTACATAAAGAAAACTTCCAGAATCCACCGCTCGCTGCTGAGATGCTTTACGTGGTAACAGTCTGTGAGAGTTAAATAAAGCCGGGGTGGGCGGGAATCTGGAAATCTGGAATTTGAAAATACACCCTCCTCCTGCAGCTGTTCCCGCTTTCTCCGAAGCCCCTCCGACCAGATGACCAAGGGCATTCACACACACCTCATA